GCAGGGCGTTGCCAAGCTTACTACGCAGCCTTGCAAGGGGGTTTCCCCACGAAGCTTACTACGCAGCATTGCAAGGGGGTTTCCCCACGAAGCTTACTGCACAGCCTTGCAAGGGGGTTTCCCCACGAAGCTTACTGCACAGCCTTGCAAGGGGGTTTCCCCACGAAGCTTACTACACAGCCTTGCAAGGGGGTTTCCCCACGAAGCTTACTACACAGCCTTGCAAGGGGGTTTCCCCACGAAGCTTACTACACAGCCTTGCAAGGGGGTTTCCCCACGAAGCTTACTACACAGCCTTGCAAGGGGGTTTCCCCACGAAGCTTACTACGCAGCCTTGCAAGGGGGTTTCCCCACGAAGCTTACTACACATCCTTGCAAGGGGGTTTCCCCACGAAGCTTACTACGCAGCCTTACAAGGGGGTTTCCCCACGAAGCTTACTACACAGCCTTGCAAGGGGGTTTCCCCACGAAGCTTACTACGCAGCCTTACAAGGGGGTTTCCCCACGAAGCTTACTATACATCCTTGTAAGGGGGTTTCCCCACGAAGCTTACTACACAGCCTTGCAAGGGGGTTTCCCCACGAAGCTTACTACACAGCCTTGCAAGGGGGTTTCCCCACGAAGCTTACTACACAGCCTTGCAAGGGGGTTTCCCCACGAAGCTTACTACACAGCCTTGCAAGGGGGTTTCCCCACGAAGCTTACTACGCAGCCTTACAAGGGGGTTTCCCCACGAAGCTTACTACACAGCCTTGCAAGGGGGTTTCCCCACGAAGCTTACTACGCAGCCTTACAAGGGGGTTTCCCCACGAAGCTTACTATACATCCTTGTAAGGGGGTTTCCCCACGAAGCTTACTACACAGCCTTGCAAGGGGGTTTCCCCACGAAGCTTACTACACAGCCTTGCAAGGGGGTTTCCCCACGAAGCTTACTACACAGCCTTGCAAGGGGGTTTCCCCACGAAGCTTACTACACAGCCATGCAAGGGGGTTTCCCCACGAAGTTTACTACGCAGCCTTGCAAGGGGGTTTCCCCACGAAGCTTACTGCACAGCCTTGCAAGGGGGTTTCCCCACGAAGCTTACTACACATCCTTGCAAGGGGGTTTCCCCACGAAGCTTACTATACATCCTTGCAAGGGGGTTTCCCCACGAAGCTTACTTATTTAATTAATTAGAAAAAAAATTCGGCGCGTAACACCGCCTGAATAAAAATAGGTGACGTTTCGGGCAATGACTCATCTTCACAGTCCTCGGAGAGAGGCGGAGAGGCAGAGTCGCCAAGTAATGAATTATACGCCGAGTGCGTGCACGGTGACCCTGTGTTGGACCCCCCCCCCCCCCCGTGAGACGATGTCACTCAAGCGCGCGTCACTTGCCTCATTCACAGCGGGTGTTGCAGCACAAATAACTCGCCACAGAGGTGAATTGCCGTAAGCACGCAGTAATAGTTGAACAAGATGGGGTTTTTTGTGCGATTGTTGATTACGTTGAGTCGGTCGCGTCATCAAGATACTTGAGAACGTGGTTTAACAGGGGGTTGCGTGTCTGAAAACTGTACTTAGACCCCCCAGGATCTTGGTGGTACTGGTGTTGTGACTGTGTTAGCGAGGCATGTGGTCATTTCCCCCCGCTTGCATTACGAGCTCACGAGTTATATTCAAGAATCAATTTTACTTGTTTTCAATCGTGGTGAATGTAGCACCTCCCGTGGCTGCAGGAGTCATGTGAAACTATTATACAACATAAAAACATTCTTACACGCATGAGGCAATGCATGTATCAGAAGTGTAAGAATAGATTTTTTTTCAATGTATTCATTGTTACGTGGCTGATATTATCCACCTGAATCACGGACACGATTCTCAATTGTAACGTGTCTCACTTAAGTCTCTGACCTGTGCTTTCTCTCACCACTGCTTGTGATTGCCAAAGCCATGGATGTGGAGAGAGTGCCATGGCGAATAGTTGTCGGTGTGCGAGAGAAACCTTTCGTGCGGGACTCCCTGAAACAATAATGGGGGGTGACGATTTTTTTTTGGGACGTGATGCGACGAGAGGGCTTGGTGATTTTGTGCATCGCTCGTAAGCTTGAGGGTAGAGACGAGGAAGTTGAATATCTGCGCGACACAACCTAAAGTGGTTTGGTTCACGAGGACGGACAGAGTGCGGCATGTCACAGCAAGCAAGGAACGGGAAGAGGTGCACATCCAAGCCTGTGGATCCCCTGCACTGGGAATGACACGCGACGGCCGTGCCGCCCAACTTTTAAAGCGGTCGTTGCCGCTCGTGTTCATCCCACCGTAATGGATTGCAATCGGTACCGCTGTGTGTAACGTCAGCAGTGGTTTTCCTCGGGGGAGACCGCTCGCCACAGCGTGGGAATGTGGCTTTGGGGATGCCAATGGATAGGAGTGATACCCTATTGCTCCTTTGAGCAGTGAGACACGGGGGGGTCACGGAAGTTCTCAACGCGGACTGGTGCAAGTTGGGGTGCAGAAGTACAGCATAACGGTGGATTGTTCTCGACTACCATCTGATGTCAACAGGACCTATAGCACCTGCTTTATCCACCAGTGGTTAACCCATGCAAGCGCTTTCCAGGCTCAATCCTGCTTACCCTTCCGAGTCGATTTGATCAAACACGCAACTGTGGCTATACAGAACCAGGTGAGATATGTAGCGCTGCGTGCGCCGAGCACAAAAATGTAATTAATGTGTATCCCACAAGCAAACCATAACAGTGCTTGTACTTTTCATGCATTATGCATAAAACCATTAAGTTTAAGCAAACTATCAGTGTTGCCTCTGTGCAACTCCATTTTTAGGATAATAAAATATTAAATTTACATTATTCTGTCCGTATTATTTCCGGGATAAGGAGGCAGAGTGCTATCAATCGGTGCATTTGTATAGTGTCGGTGATATTTCCTTCAGATGTGTTCATTGGTGTTTTTTCAATGTGGATCAAAGGGTGGAAACTCCTTTGCAAAAGTAAAATTTCTGGAGAACGCGGTGACATTCATTGTAGTTTGTGTTGAATCGGCAGTTTTCATGATATTTTTTTTTATAATCACAATTACGTGAACAAGTCCCGTGGCTTGGAGGGCTTACAGCTTGGTCGCGAAAGTAGCGTACGAACGCACCCAACCTCGAGCTCATTTTTCACGGGTGCAGATAATGCAAAATCGGGCTGATTGCCACAAATTGTCAACAAATTACGTCAAACTGTAATTGCAGGAGAAATAAAACGCAGGCGTGCGGTGAATAAAACATCGGCTAATTATAGCGCAATTACCCAAAGCCAGTTAAGTAGAGAGGACTGTATGCACACTGTGTCTTCAAGGTCACGTGCATGTGCTGCTCGCTTACAAGAGCGCTTATTTACCGAATACCAGAGCTTCTTCGCTCTCTCGTCGTGACATTACTATATGTTACTATATATAGTAACGTTACTTATATATACTGTATATGTTAACGCGCCCTCGCATTCAAACCGAGACCCGAGGTTGACTGTCACAGCCGTATACTGTTTCTGACATATCAAAGGCCTTTCTGGAATTACTATGAGAGAAAGTGGAGCACTTGGCATGGAGAAAATACGCAGGATATTGACATCGTTCTAACTGTTATGGAAAGTGGGTACGCTTGGGTAAGAATGGTGACGGGAGTGGCAGCCAAGGAATGGAACGCGTCCACAGCGGAGATGGAGCGATGGTATCAAGTCCAGCTGCTGGACAATTAACTCCCTGAATTTCCACAGTTCGGGGTCGCAATTTAATCGAAGACTGAAATATTTCGGCGAATATTACCCCTCTTTGTTGCTGTTGGATTTCTATGAATCCCCAAAAAATGCGAGTGATCTCGCGGGTACGCGATTTGCCCGCCCAATGCGTGCACGCATATACTTCCCCCGCAGCTTTATGTACGTTGCAATGTATGCACGCGACCGTACTTAAACGCCACGAAATGGCACGACCGCTCCCTTGCATTGGCAAGCGCGCGAGGGACGATGGGACTGTGGGGAGCCTCCGTGGCTTCACGCCGACTGCACGCCGCGGTAACAACTCGCGCCGATCCGAGGGGGGCCTCTGGGGACGAATGACGCTGCTGCTGCTGCTTCTTCACGGCACGGAGCCTCTGCTGCACACATCGGGGGATCGCCACCCCGGGGTCGGTCGCGTCAGACAACCTGCAGAAACTTGCGTGCGAATGTCCACCTAGCGTCGTCCTGCGGGTGTTTTACGCAAACGGTCACTGAGCTCCAAACCTGGGAGTAAAAGATGCAGGTTCTCCGAGCGAATGTGATGGACCGATGCTGGTCACCAACACCTCGCAAAAAATCCCATTGTGCACATTTGTCTACATATGTAATAATTTCACGCGAATCCCTGAGACGCTGCATTCACCACAGTATTAAAATGATGAAATGTTTTAATTAAATTGTCACCTCCAGTTGTGATGTGGTTATGAAGGAGCACTGCCTCAGTAAAACCATCACCATTGGAGAGAGAACAGTGGTTTGCAATGTCTAAACTACACTAAACTCTTTTACGAGGTAAAGCACACTGAGCAAGTAGCTCTTTTTCAGAGGCCACCTGGTAGCACGTGATGATAGCTCATCGAAGTGGCTGATTTCATGCCTGAGAATTTATAGCAGCAGCCAAATAATCTAAAGACATGTTTGTAACTGTGGAGGGCAAAACCAGAGGAACCCGGATAAATATCCATGCAACCCGAGCGAGAGATCACACAGACTCCAAACACAGGTATACATGCTTCAGCATTGGAATCAAACCCATTGTCTGGAGGGCAGTGGTTAGCGGACTGTGAGCCAGGCTACAAGCCAACTTCAGTGGCAAGTGAGATGCCAACCTCTCCTGGGCTTCAACCCACAATACCCACGCGATGTGGGGAGGTCTTCATCCAGTAGTGGATTAAAGTAGGCCTATGCATATAAGCCTATGCATTACCACCCGTGGATGTGTGTAGCAGCTGTTCTTATCCGACGGCCGACCCGTCCCGGCTTCCCTGCTCCGGTTCGCCACTCGCATGCGAGCCCTCCCCGCAGTCGTGAATGCGCAAGTAGCGCACGTCGCGCAGCACCCTCGCCCAGTCGCCCTGCTCCGGTGCGGCCTCTCCGGCCCCCTCGCCGTGCCGACCGCGGTCCCAGAGCGGCGGCAGCCTCGTCCGCTCCGTGATGCGCTCCCTCCTCCGCCGGGCCCGCTCCGCCTTGCGGGCGCGCGCCGCCTCGTCGCGCCGCGCCCGCACGCCCGTGCGAGGCCCCGACGACGCGCCCGCGTGGGCGGCGGGTGAGCGGCCGCGACGCTGGCGGCTGCGGTGGCGGCGGGGAAACGCCAGCGGGAGCTCCTCTCGTCCATCAACCGCACGAAGTTCGTCGCCGCCCGTGTACGTTGGCCCCGTTTCCTCAAGGTCCGCTTGGGCGATGCGGCGATAGCCTTGCTGGAGCCGGTCATGGCGGCGGTTACCACATTGGTGGACACGGTGGTGGTCGTCGCATTGGTGATCGTGTTTCGCGTCACTGTCTTTGCTCCTAGTTGACGTGTGTTTGTCCTCTAAGCAGTCAGACCTTTGAGTTTGTTCGTCACCATTGTGATTAACCGCGTAGCCATTCAGGCAAGACATGCTGGATGTTTCCCCATGAGGCGATGGCAGTGATAACTTAGTGATTGGCTGGCTCTGAGAGGTCAAACGATGCTGTGGATAATGATGAGGATAACGGTGATTGTGTCGATGAGGAGCTCCGCGATCTGAGCGGAGTGCAGACTCGCACATAACACCGGGAAAACAAACAGCAGAGCTCTTCGAGTCGCTCGCTTTTACGACTTCGCCCGGCACGAGTGAGGATCTTTCCGCTTGGCCTCGCGGCACCGGAGGCCGTGTGGTGGCGGTGACAGCGGTGGCGGCAGCGGTGACAGCGGTGGCGGCGGCGACGGGACCTGCCAGGGTGGCGGCCGTGGAGCGGCTCCCGGCGATGGCCGCCAGGAGTCGATGTTCGGTGTCCACGCGGTGAGCAAGCTCCCGGACGCAGTGGACGCGCTGCCGCTCCAGCTGCCGCAGCAGGCGGTCGCGCGCAACCCGCTGAGCCCGTTGCAGGTGCCCGGCACCCGTGCCACGCACGGTGCGCTGCATGCCAAGCCCCTCGTTTCCCCGTGCCGGGGGTGCGGTACCTGTGAATTGTGGAATGAGTACGAATAAAACACGGGGACGGTTGTAAGGTTGCAACCTTTTCCCACTGTAGACCAAAACCGGACCTATTTCTCATTCAAGCCTCGGTCTATAAAACCTGTGCAGTATTCTGCAATCACGTTCAAAGCAATTCCGGTACCAGATCTCGGTACAAACCAAATCCCTGCCACCTGTACACAGATGCCAATTCCGGATAGGTGGAAACCCGAGAGGGCAGTTGGAAGTGCGATCTCGGATTCTCAACACTGGGACCGTGGCAGCTGGGCAAGCTCGGAGCGTGCACCACCGTCACGCCAGTTAGCCACGGAGTCGATGCTTCACTCGTTGCAGCTGCCTGATAATTATGCGGGAAATTGTAAAAAAATGCCGCCTGCTCAAAAATGGATTAAAAAAATACTGCGCACGGTGACTTCATTGTTCACGACAGTAGGTGACACCGTGTACCCGGTTCGTAGCCAACAAAAAAACATAACTGAAAAGGAAAAAGTACACGTCAGATGGGATTATAACAAATTAATACATTTGCTTACGTAATTGTAGCTGATCAGGTCTCCCGTGAAAAAGAGGCAGTCTCAAAGCGTTGTCAGCTGGTTAAACGATGGACGTGCCGTGGGTTGCACGAGCCCGTGTGGACATAAGCACTGCGATGCAGCGTCAGCATCATGTTCGTGACAACACAGACTGCCGTTAATGGTAGAGGTATCAGGAACACTGTAATCCGGTGCGCAACACGCAGATTTCACGCGTTTGAGAATCCCCAAATGTGACCGTTTGGCACACGAGCCGGACGCGTACTACGCACGGTATTTCTCAAGGTCATTTAAAACCATTCACCTCTACGTGCATTTACACTTTCTCCTGAAGTCACAAATGTGTGTGTTTACTAGATGCAGACTGTTTGCAATGCTATACGTATAAGCACAAGTCAAGCGCATAATATATAATCGATTTGATTAGCAAGGGCAATTAACCTGCAGTGGCTGCATTTACCGCTCTTGAAAGTGCGACGCGCCTGGCCGTGTTGTGTTTATGAGTGAGATAGGACACGAGGCACAGTACACTGACCTTGGGAGACGGGGAGATGTTGTTCACAGCACGCCGCTGTCACCACCACTGGACACGTGGAGACTACGGAGCAGTTTCCCTTGCCAGCAGAAGCCACCTTGCGCAGCTTGGTTGCTCATAACATATTTATAACTACGCGATATGACGGCACAGCCAACACGTGCGTCATCATCATGTTATTTATTTCCTTATGTACATAATAAACATTTGGACACGTCGTAAATAAACAATCGTGATTCCGAACCAAGCGCAAGCCCCCAAATGTGAAGAAGGCCGACCGAGCTGCTGGCTGGAGCCCAGCCCCAGGTGAGAACGTGGCAGCTGCACGTGGTGGTGACCCCGACCCTGCCTCTCTCTGTCCCCCACGCCCGCGGCTAGCGAATCGCAGGCTCAGCAGCAGCAGCAGCAATCCTGCAGGACACGGCCCGCACCTTGGGAGAGGCGTCCCCCCCCCGCCTCCCTCCTGTGGTGTCAGGGTCCCAGGTGGTGCGAGTGTCTGTCCGTGGCAGCCAAGTCGGGCCCACTCGCCGCTTGGTGACTCATGGCCACCAATAGAGCTGGGGCCACCGCCACACGCCTGTGTGAGCACTTGTGACTTTTGAGGGTGCGTGCAATTGAAAGGACAATATATACGGATGTGCTACAGTGCTGTAATTGTGGCGGTGCCTTTTTACCGTGGTCCTGTCCACAGCTGGCTTATGTTTGCCACAGCGGATGGACTATGAGTGGCGTGCAATTCCCAGGCTCTCTCTCTTTGCCGCGTCCAAACACGCAATGTGGCACACTGATAAATAATTGGGCCGTTCTCTCTATGTTTCCCTCTCCTCAGGTCAGGACGCTCCCCACTCAAACGAGGAGCTTTCAATTATTCAATTGTATGAAGACAAAGTACACCTGCAACGGATACATCTAGCGCTTTGTATTTCGCATTATTTATCTCCATATATATAAAAGGCAAAGTTGTGATTATGTATGTCTGTTCAAAATATTTAGCGTACTTCCCGACATGCAACAAACTGGAAATTTGCCATGTGGGTACTTTCCAGACTGTACACCATGCAAAAATTATTAAAAAAATGCACTTTTGTTTTTGGGGGGAGCTCATTAATGCATATTTATTTTGCACGGCAAGTGAGCTGTGACGTCAAATCTGTCATGTGACCCGCGCATGTGGAAGCGTAACGCATTGTAGTGTAGCGGTTAGCGCGCTGTCTGTATGTGTGTGTCTGTGTGTGCTTATGACTGTGCTTATGACTGGCTCCAGTTTAACAGCAGAGGTCTCACTCCGAATCAGTCGAGCGGCAATATCTTTTCATCGGTTGCGTAACGCTGTGTGGAAGCTACCTGGTCTGTCGCTCCGCACTAAGCTTCAGGTCTTCTCGGCCACGGTCATTCCCTCCCTTCTCTACGCTTGCGAAACGTGGACCCCCCTAATGGAACATCTTCGCCGGTTAGAAACATTTAGGCTGGCCTGCCTACGATCCATTCTGGGTTTAACCAGACTGGATTGTGTGAGGAGCTCACAAATCCTTGAAAGATCTGGGCAGGGTCCCATCGGTGAGCTCCTCCGGCAGGCAAGGCTGCGATGGCTGGGTCATGTAGCCCGCATGCCCAGCCACCGCATGCCGAAACAGCTTTTGTTTGGCCGGATTGAGGGGGCTAAGCGGGCGCGGCACGGGCTAGAGAAGAGATGGAGTGATGTGGTACAGGAGGACGTGGAGCTGAGTGGACTTGCCGATGACTGGTACCAGCGGTGTCAAGATCGGCCTCTGTGGAGGAGGCTCGTGAAGGACGCTACTGGGCAGTTGGAGGCAGTCGCCCTCCAACAACAACGGAGGGCGGAGGAGCGACGCTCAGAACGAGCGGAGCGCCGGGTGGCTAAAGCACAGCAGGTTGGCACAGTAGGGGGCACAGGTGGTGCATCAGCCAGTCATCTCAGTCAGTCGACTCGTGGCACCTGGGTCTGCCCCGTGACCTCCTGCCAGCGGGCGTTCGACACTTCACGTGGCCTCAGGGTGCACATAGCCTGGCACAAGCGTCGTGGTGACGTCACCGCCACTTAGTGGCGAATGGCGGTTGTTGTTGTTGTTGTCTGTGTGTCTGTGTGTGTGTCTGTGTGTGTGTGTGGAGTGGTAGTGTAGTGGTTAGCGCGCTGCGCTACGAACCCGGCGACCCGAGTTCGATTCCCGCTCACGGCCACCACCGGTGACGATTATTTCAACCTCTCCTGGGCCTCCCCTAGGTCGACTCAGCCTCAAACGAGTAACTGCTGCTACTGGGGGGACAAAGGCGGCCGCGCGTGGTGGATCCAAGTCCCGGGCGAAGCCGGGTAGTACAGCTAGTGCTGTATATTCTGTATGAGATATCCTCACCAAGGCAAGGCGCAAGACGAAGAAATCAACTAATTTCAGATGTGTGCTGTGTGTACTACGAGCACAGTGGGGGGCGCAGGTGGTGCATCTGTCAATCAGCTCAGCCAACCCATAACTCCTGGGTCTGCCACATTTACCTCCTCCTCCTCCCGGGGAGCCTTCCGACATTTCACGTGGCCGCACGGTGCATCTAGCCTGGCACAATGCTGAGCGGCAGTTGTTGAAATGTCAGGGAAAAACGGATCCCTTGCACTCAAACTACACACGGGACAAGTGGCCAGTGGCGTAAAAACCCTCCATTGATTTGTTTCCCCCACCGCTGGATGGTTCTGCCCGCATGGGCACGGGAGGCAATGCCCCCTCCCCTTCAAACTGGCCACCTTTATTAATTTATTTTCAGTAGTTTACAATTAAGATACAAAATTAACTAACTATATGCATCCGCGATGTAACAATCCATCTCATGCCCGCGGAACAGCGGATTTGATGGCTCCATCTCTGCACGAGATCGGTGTCGTTCTCTCCTTTGGCTGCCGCCACTTTAGTCTCGACCACCGCTCATCATCCCCACGAGCCGTGCCTTGCCCTGCCCAATCCTACTTTTACTAACAGTCAATCTGATCTCAACTGGCGCGTGTTCTCTTAATCCACGTGTTCTCTTAATCCGCGTGTTCCTCTACCTGTCTCGGCACGATCCAGCGACCCTGTTTGAAGTGGATGGATGACAGATGTACCCCACCACACCCACCAGGTGAGTAATCCATCAGTCTGTTTGGGCCTTCTTCCAGATTCATGGTCCCCGCCTCCATGTGTAGATTTATTACAGCTTTCAGTTTTCTGCCAATAATTTCCAATTTCGGGGAGAACAGATGTGCAGTGGTTAGCGCAGTGCACGATGAACCAGGCGACCCGAGTTTGATTCCCCTCCACGGCTAACGTCTGTGGTGAGTGATGACTTTAAGGAACCAAGGGCCTACCTTCGCCAACCCGCAATGAAGATTGTGGTGAAATATGGTCAAACACTCCCCATGGCCGACACAGGGTGGAGGAGCTTGCGTCTAGCAATTCATTGACAGGACTGTTATTATACATTTCCAATTGTGCTATCGGCATAGTTTAAAGAAAGACACAGGCGCAGCCCTGCAATTCCTTGCTCAACGGCGCAGCTGTCGGAAGGGCCTCCATTCAGAGGAGTTCCGCCTTCCTGTCGCACTGGACAGGTAACTAGGAAGAAGTGGGAAATACCCACACGGTAAACCCACATTAATTAGCATAAACAATGTAACCTCGTGGCTACCGAATGCACTTCTGAACGTATAATAACTTACTGCAGCAGAGTGACACAGTCGAGTATGTATGTGGTGCATGCACGTAGGCAATATGAGACATACAATACTCTATGTGTATCAATGCATTACCTGGGAGTCTTCAGCCTACTAGTGGATGTGTGACTTGCTATGCACCTCAGATATATAACATCGTATAGAGTAATATAGTAATATACATGACTTACCACACAGGTGTAGGGTGGCGTTCTTCTCTGGCGAATGAAGAGATTCTAATGGAAAAAATCCTAACAAAATGTTGTACTTTTCCCCTTATGTTTGTATATCATTTATCTGTTAAACACATTAAAGCTATGTATTTATAACGAATCCAGTTAATGTCTCCTACCTCTCACATTTATATGTCCATCTGTTCTGTACAAGCGTCTTGCGACGCGGTTACATTTAGAAGACTTGTTAATCCAAGAGCATTGAGCTCCTGGTTCCCATTCACGGAGGTATCGTCTCGGGCGTCTGTAATATTCTCATACACGCCTCTGTAGTTTCTGAGCAATTCGGAATGCTATATATAACTACCTAGATGAGTTACACGAAGGACCTTGGCAAACATAAAATAACTCACTGTTTAATAAACACCTCGAGTGCCTCTGGTCTCGCTCGGATGGACGCAACACCACGTGAAGTGTGAAAGCTCTCAGTGCCCCCAGAACAATGTGCACCCAATGTTACAGCTGGCCAACATGCCAGACAATTTACAAAGTGTACCCATCGGCTGGGTGTCTTGATAATGCAAGAGTCGTGCCAGGCCTGCAGGGAACCCAGGTGCCTGTCTGTTGCAGACGACTTTTCTGGGCAGTGGAGTTTGCAGGATGGGCCCTTATATCCGTGGGCTATCTTCATACACTCGATTAAAATCACACTTGATAGAAACCGTAAAACCACATTCACTAGTAAAACTGTGTCACGAAATAAGAATATGGTAGGGAAAAAAGGAGCTCTGATGGGCCCCCTTAAGAGCAGAGTAGTGGGCTGATTAGTTGCCCAGAATATGATTATATATGAGAATACAATTATATATATGCATGGTTAATGTTTATGATTTGTGCTTATGCACCACTGCAATGCAGTCCTGATACCCAAATATAACTTGCCAAACATCTCAAACAGGAGCATACAAAAACATTCAGGTGAGGGTTTACTGGGATTTTTTGCCAAAGTTATACGGGTGTATCAATTCTGGATGAAGTTTTTAATCATTCTCCTTTCCATTAGTTAAATAAATTAACATTTGTAAACCAAAGGGAAAACTGCAATGGGGGGTGGGAATAATGTTTTTCGAAAGGGCATCATCAATTGTATTCGCCACCGTTTTGAAGTCTGTTAATGGGTACATTGTGTAAATAGTGACACTGTTAGTGGGCACACCTTGTAAATGGTTACATAGTGTGTGTACACGGTGTAAATGGGTACACTGTGTCGATGTGTACACGGTGTAAATGGGTACACTGTGTCGATGTGTACACCGTGTAAATGGGTACACTGTGTCGGTGTGTACACCGTGTAAATGGGTACACCGTGTAAATGGGTACACCATGTAAATGGGTACACTGTGTCGATGTGTACACCGTGTAAATGGGTACACCATGTAAATGGGTACACTGTGTCGATGTGTACACGGTGTAAATGGGTACACTGTGTCGATGTGTACACCATGTAAATGGGTACACCATGTAAATGGGTACAATGTCGATGTGTACACCGTGTAAATGGGTACACTGTGTCGGTGTGTACACCGTGTAAATGTGTACACCGTGTAAATGTGTACACTGTGTCGGTGTGTACACCGTGTAAATGGGTACACCGTGTAAATGGGTACACTGTGTCGGTGTGTACACCGTGTAAATGGGTACACCATGTAAATGGGTACACTGTGTCGGTGTGTACACCGTGTAAATGGGTACACTGTGTCAGTGTGTACACCGTGTAAATGGGTACACTGTGTCGATGTGTACACCGTGTAAATGGGTACACCATGTAAATGGGTACACCATGTAAATGGGTACAATGTCGATGTGTACACAGTGTAAATGGGTACACTGTGTCGGTGTGTACACCGTGTAAATGGGTACACCATGTAAATGGGTACACTGTGTCGATGTGTATACCCTGTAAATGGGTACAGTGTCGGTGTGTACACCATGTAAATGGGTACACCATGTAAATGGGTACACTGTGTCGATGTGTACACTGTGTCGATGTGTACACCGTGTAAATGGGTACACTGTGTCGGTGTGTACACCGTGTAAATGGGTACACCATGTAAATGGGTACACTGTGTCGGTGTGTACACCGTGTAAATGGGTACACTGTGTCGAAGTGTACACCGTGTAAATGGGTACACCATGTAAATGGGTACACCATGTAAATGGGTACACTGTGTCGGTGTGTACACCGTGTAAATGGGTACACCATGTAAATGGGTACACTATGTCGATGTGTACACCGTGTAAATGTGTACACAGTGTAAATGGGTACACTGTGTAGATGTGTACACCGTGTAAATGGGTACACCATGTAAATGGGTACACTGTGTCGGTGTGTACACCGTGTAAATGGGTACACCATGTAAATGGGTACACTGTGTCGATGTGTACACCGTGTAAATGGGTACACCATGTAAATGGGTACACTGTGTCGGTGTGTACACCGTGTAAATGGGTACACTGTGTCGATGTGTACACCGTGTAAATGTGTACACAGTGTAAATGGGTACACTGTGTAGATGTGTACACCGTGTAAATGGGTACACCATGTAAATGGGTACACTGTGTCGGTGTGTACACCGTGTAAATGGGTACACCATGTAAATGGGTACACTGTGTCGGTGTGTACACCGTGTAAATGTGTACACCGTGTAAATGGGTACACCATGTAAATGGGTACACTGTGTAGTGGGGCGGAGGCCGTTGTCGCGGCTCCTCTCGTCATGGAGGGCCTCCCACTCACCATGCCCGCTGCCCTGCAGGCCTCTTGGGTGGGACGCCTCCCTCCATTGAGCAAACATCACAACAACGCCTCCCAATCCACGCAGAAGGGCCATTGAGAGCCCGGTGCAAAGTTAGTCGCTGAATTTTAAAATATATAATCAACCTTTAAGCGGACATGCGCCATAGCGAACACTTTGCATCCACCGCTATTCAACATTACACAGATGGGTAGTTCTTTTTTGTGCTCATCACTGAGACATGGCGACTTAGGTAGTCATATAACCAGTGTCATTTTCTAAACAGCTCATCAACGACCATAATTGATAAAATTGCCAAGGTGTTGTGTACAATACATTTCAAATGACTATGCATTGTGAAATGTATTGGATTTAAGTGTTATTACAGTTGACAGAACATGTTTCATGCTCTTGAGATCCGTCAGCAAGGCACAGTGACTTCTTGAAATGCTGAAGTAGTTCACGCGGTTCATCATTCGTGACTTCAACTACATAAAAGTACAATGCAAACATTGTCCATGTCTTACTATGACATTACATTAAACGGCATATTTATGTTTACTGAAATTAAGTATTATATGAGTGACAGAACCTGATTTTAAACAGTTGATTATAAAATATGGCATCAATTTAAGCACTTTTTTTCTAATTAATATAAAAACATCCAAACATGAATATAAACATAAGAACATCTCTTTTCAAATCCACTGCATCCTGAATGCATTCAATGTCAAATACAACATTTATATTGTAAATGCTTAGTCTAGTCTTACGTGGGATAGTTTTCAAGGAGGTACAGTTTTGTCTAGTTGATGTTGCACACCTCTTTGCATTAAGGTACTATCAGTGACATGCGCAATGTCAAGTTGATTAGGACGTTAATTGTATAACCAATTTAAATGAACACACTTTCCATCCAAATGGAAGTCAGACACATTACTCAACTTATATGACCATAAAGTCTCTCTTACTGCATCCTAAGTGTAAATCTTAAAAAAAAGAGATGTCATTATCTTGGACTTGGGTGGGATACAATATTTTTTTCCTTGTAGATATATTTAAAACATGTAAATACAATACAAACCTTTTGTATTTATATATATAGACACATGAGCTTGGTGAGTGAGGTGCCCGTGTGAGTAAGAGATCAGATCATTCATTGACTTAAACCTGGGTTCAAATTCGGACAGCCACCAATGATTAAATTGGGTTCTAAAATACGGTGAGTATATAAATGGTGTCAGCCCAGTTCACCCATGACTGCATTAAAACATCCATACAGTTTTGGGTTTAACTTGTCTCAATTTCAGGTCTGAGATTGTTTTAAATGTTAACTGAACTTTCCCACAGTTATCTTCAGCAGTCACCCAGGAAGGCCCCTGCTCTCAGATGTATTTGTTTGAAGGCATCACAGACACGTTTCTGTAACATCTTCTAACCCGAGGGTGATGCAGAAACAGGGCCACTGACTGGCGGGGCAAGTGTTGTTAGCGAGGAGCGCCTGTGACTGCCTCCACTGGCCCACACCAGGGGGGCGGGTGGCCAACGCCGCGCCCGGCCGCCTTTGTCTCCCGAGTGGCGCGATGTTTACACACCACACCAGGTACTCATTTGAGGCTGAGTTGACCTAGGGGAGGCCCCCCATGACCGGTGAGCTGGAATCCAAATGTGATCGGCGGTGTAGCAGCGCGCAGCGTAGCGCTAACCACGACACGACCGCTGCCTGGGCAGGGGGCCTCATGGCTGGAGCTGGACGGTTGCCACCCGTCCCGGGTTGGCACGAAGAGTCAGTGCACTGGTGTGTGTGTGTGTTCGGTGACCGAAATAGATTCATACATAAGTCTGGACGTTGTTGCCTTGAACGGTGTTGCAGTTTACCGCACAGTTTCTATAAACTCAGGGTTTTTTTATTTTTGTGTGTGACAAAGGTGGCGACCTTATTGAAAAAAAAGGATGGGTCGATTGAGTGGCAGGCAAAGCGTGAACCAGCCCAGGGGACCGTCCTCCGCGCAGATTATTTTTTGCGTCGCCTTCATCCAGCAGTGGATAGATCACGATTGGTGATGATGGTGATGGTGGTGATTGGTGCTGATGGTAGTGGTGTTACATCTCCCCCATGACAATGGCGATTTTAGGTTACGTCACTCCCCCCCTCCGCACAGCCACGTCGATTCGAGAATCGATGTCACATTGGAATTGTCCCGCCCCCGTGCGCTAACACTCGGCGATCCGCGCGCCGTTATTTAGCGGCGGGCGCGAATCGATTCCTCATTCCGCTCTCCTCATTTCTCTCTCCTCATTCCTCTCTGCCGCCATTTCGTCTCCTCCGCTCCTCGCTACCACCACGACGACGACGATGTCGACCACCTACTACGACGGGCACGCGTCCAAGCGCCTGAGAACCGATGCCGAAGGCAACGACATCCAGGCGGGCGTGATGGTGAGTGTTGGGATTAACGACTTGACGATGTTTTAACGAGAATCCGTTTCTTTCCCCCACACCTCGTTGCGAGGCCTGGGCGCGAGGCTTCGCTCAGGCAGGCGGCCATTGTGTGCACCTCGAGCCGCCATTCTCCCCCCCCCTCCCCGTCTGTCTTTATTGGTGATTATTTAACGTGATTATTTAACGTGATTGTGTAACGTGATTGATTGTTTAGCGACGGCGCGGCGTTATAACGCGAAGATTCCAGTGCCCTGAGGCGAGTTGTGTGAGAATATCTTGCGAAGCGCCTGTTGGGGATGTGCCACGCGGGCCATGCCTCTTTGCGGCGCATCGCCTCTTACATTCGGTGAAAGGCGTTTTGGTAATCAGATTCGTGTTTATTAAAACTTTTAGCTATTTCCAGTGTATTTTAAGACGGCGTTTTCTCTTATAAGGGTGGGTATTTTGATTTTAAGCTTTCGTGACTGCAGGGATTCATATTCTTTGTTCTTTCGGTAAAGTCACGTAGAAGGGAAACAAAATAAAAAAATATAAAGCAATACAATTATCGCGACGTTTCGACTGCAACACAAGCAATCATCATCAGGTGTTTTCACACTTGATTGCTTGTGTTGCAGTCGAAACGTGATAATTTTATTGTTTTATATTTTTATTATGTTGTTTCCCTTCTACGTGACTTTAACGAAAGAACCAAGAATTAGGGTGGGTATTCTCTGTGCACTGAACGTTAAAATACTAATTAAGTTAAAATGCCGATATGTTAAATACCCCATGTAATGGCGTCGTGGGTAGCGCTTCGACATCCAACGAGGCGTTTTCGCGAGAGAGGAAAAAAACCCCAATATGATTGAAATCTTTGCGGAATGATGAAAATATACAGGGTCTACAAAAGCGCACCTGGCCGTCGGGATGCGAGTTCCAGAGTTTATAACTCCAGGGCCGTTTACATTTAAAGTTAAACTTGCGAACGTTCTTAGCGATTACTGAAATGATGCCCCACTGAGCTATGGCCATTTTTGCCAAACGGATGCAGATTTAAAAGCCCTTTAATATAAGTATCTGCTCCGATATCACTTGCCGCTGATGTTAGCCGTGGCCCGCAATCTAACTTATCGCCCGGTTCATATTTTTATTTTATTGTTTCCCTTCTACGTGACTTTAACGAAAGAACCAATAATATGCGCGTTAAAAGCAATGCACCACTTATCCATGCCTGCTCGGTATAGGAGGAAACAACAGCTTTGCAAAATGGACGTATTGAGTTTGCTTCCTTGGCGACGTGTACAGGACACGTTTGAGGACCCACACAAGCCTCCACCGTCGGCTGTGGTTCACGTACGGGGACTCTCGGACGCAGCCCTCGAGTCCGACCTCGTGGAGGCCGTGCAGCACTTTGGCCCAATCAGGTAACCAGTCGGCGACAGTTGCCCGCATGGGGAAGGAAGCTTTATTATATTTATTAACATTGTACGTTTTTAAACGATTGAGAACCAAAGGGGTGCAAGGCTGCAGTGAAGCTCAAGAACCACTTATCTAAATAAAAAGTCGTGACCGCTTGTGGCGGTCGACGAGAGGGCGCAGCTTTGCCAACGTCACGGCATAATCGGCGATGCCGTGCGTGGCTTGTCCGGGGCTTTCCAGCCTGAAGTAACCAACCAAAAACCGTTTTCAATTTCCCTAAGTCACGAATTCTCCCCGAATTAAAGTGCTGCTGCTGCTTTTGTTGTGCGTCTGACAAAAGCAGCACACATTCTACTGTGATTAGTAACCATGTTAAAATATATCTTTTGTATTGAAATTGTGCACACACACCTTGTTTATGTATGTTTGAAGATGTATTTTAAATCAAATTATATTTTACAGTACATTGAATTACAATGCACTACACTGCCAAACTGAAATGGGACGTGACATCTACCTCATCTAACCAATCTCTACGCTGTTGCATGCATTGAAACATTTTTTGTGATCAAATAAGGTGACTTGTAGCAGACCAACCTTCACTTTCCACATTTTTTAGGCCATGTTAAAACAATGACCATGGCTAATGTGTTTAAAATTAACAATAATAGGCACGTATTTTAAAGTCAACCATACTTTGAATAACCCATTCTTTGAATCATCCCCTGCGTGTATAGCTACGTGGTGATGATGCCCAAGAAGCGGCAGGCGCTGGTGGAGTTTGAAGACCTGGAGAGCTCCCGCAGCTGCGTCAACTACTCGTCCACGGGCTCCATCTACGTGTGCGGGCAGCCAGCCTATTTTAACTTCTCTACCAGCCAGAAGATTTCGCGCCCTGGTGGCCCGGAGGATAACCGCAACAGCAACCACATCCTGCTCTTCACCATCCTCAACCCCATCTACCCCATCACCACGGTGGGCATAATTACACTTACAGCAGCTGGACATTAACGTGAATAATTTGTCGTGTGTGCCACACACGTGTTAATTTATACGAGTGAAATTGTGTCCCTTGTGGATTATATGAATGGCTTTGCTAAGGAAATTACATTGATCCTTTGGTTCATTTGAGGCAATTGACGTCATGTTTTTTGTTTGCTTTAAAGTGTACCAATAGTATCGAATTAAAACATGTTTCAATACAATTATATTATAGACCTAATGTTAATTTTTGAAAGCATTGATGTCCTGTATGGCTCGATCTTAAAAATTTACTGAAAAAACGCTTTTCAAATTTACTTGGAAATATATGCAAAATCGCCTCGCTGGGTTTATGGTTATCCAGTCTAAATGTGTGCTCCATGTGCTCTTTTGCAGGATGTGCTTTACACCATTTGCAACCCATGTGGGCCTGTGCAGCGCATTGTGATCTTCAGGAAGAATGGCCTGCAGGCCATGGTGGAATATCCTTTTAACGAGATGCATTACTGTAACAATGACGTGTCCACTATGTATTTTACGTGTTATTTTGGAGATGCTAAATGTATTGTTTTTTAAATGAAAGTTGTGTTTTCCTTAATTCTTGGCCACGTTTGATTCGGTTCAAAGCGCCCAGAGAGCGAAGTCATCTCTGAATGGAGCTGACATCTATTCGGGCTGCTGTACTCTTAAAGTGGAGTATGCAAAGGCAAGTACAACTGTACTTTTTACATTCACAAATGTATGCACTACACCTTGGTTTTTCACCCACAGACCAAAGATTAATTAAATATTTTTTATATTGACCTCTTGGTGAGCAATAATGCTGAATACACATACATGCCAATTCATTGCTAAGTAAGGGCTTCCGCACTCGATGCCTGCTGTGGTGTTAGTTGACTTGTGTGCAGGGTAAAGGTGTGGAGCATATGTGGCAGCATAGAAATACAATGCACCCAATGGATTTTACGTCATTGCCCTCTGCTGCCCAACCTACAACAACCCATTATGCATGATGGTCATCCTTTCTGTTGTCTGAAGTCAAACTTTTCCTAATTGATATTACCGTGATGGTGGTTCTCATCTGAGCCAGTAATGGAAATTCGCATCCAGTGGCTATGTATGGTGCGAAAGTTTGGCTTACTGTTGACTTCCTACATGTGGCAGCTCTATTTTTTCATCTCCCAGGAGATTAAGGGTTGCGTTTAATGACAGTTTATCTGCAGGTTGCATGCTGTAATTGTCTTCAGTAATCATGACTGCTTAATATTTATGCTTGAAAAATGTAATGGTTTTATAGTTATATATATTTTTCCGAGCATTTATGCCCTATATGCTGGTCATGAATAATGTATATTTTTCCCTCTGCTGTGTCCTCTTTACAGCCAACCCGTCTGAATGTGTTTAAAAATGATTCTGAGACCTGGGACTACACCAACCCTGGCCTCAAGCAAGGTAAGACCATAGCTAGATTGAGCATATCAGAGCTGCAGTCTCTCGACATCTGTGAGCCCTCGGTGTGGGGTGACGTTTTTAGCGCAAGGGTGTGCACGGCGTGATGAAACAAATATTGACTTTCTAGACGCAGCCAGCTTTGCCGTGTTATACTTGAAGATCCGTGCCAAGTAGGAGAAGTATGTGGAGCGTTCTTGAGAGGATAATGTAGCTTTTGCACTTGAGATTTTGGTGCTGAAAAATGGCACACCTGCACACACTTCGTTGTCTTGAAGCACATTGGTGGACAGTTTACAATCTAAAGTACTTGGTCGTTGTCACAGGAAGTTATTTTAAATCCCACTCCCTCATATCAAACATGCAAACACTGCAATTGTGTAGAGCTGGTCAAGGTATTTCCGTTTATGCCTATGCAACATATAACTAAAAAAATCTTAGTTTTTTAGCCCATGCTAAGCTTGCATAGTTTACTCTGGGCAGAATGGTTTTAAACTCCTGCTCGTGTACTTTGTTTTTCGAGCTTACCCTTCAATTTGGCAATATAAGTGGATCTTGTGAAAAACAGGATTCGCAAGGCATATGGCTGGAGTGTTCAATAATCCATTGGATTATTTTTTAACATTTAAAGCTGGTGCCCTGGTGCTGGAATTTGTCCCCCCCAGCGCATGCAATAGACATTGCCATTAAGTTGGTGGATTTTAGACTTTGATCAGCTTTGAAGACTTTCCCAACGTAAAGTGCATATGGCCCATAGATGGCACTCGTTTGGTCTGGGTGTGTCAAGGCTGGACATTTTTATATATTGTTACCAAGGTGTGTCGATCAGAAGTAGATGCCAACTTTCACTGGCATATTTGAGGTGGACATTGAACATTGCGCAGACCACGGTTTTATATTTTGTGGTTGAGAAACCTTGACTACATTTTGTGCTCTTGGTGTCTGGGTACCAAGCGGAGAAGCTTAGAGGATGTCAGAAAAGCGATATTTACGATTGAAAATATCACTTACAAAAAGTAACCCTTTTTATTTAATTTGGTACAATTGAAGCTGAATAGGAAAATGGTATCTTTGTCCCCGAGTACATTGTGTACACACAGATATTAGTTTCTGAAAAGGTAAGTCTTGCCACTTTTATGAAGGTAGCTTTAGGGACATGGTGGTTTGGTTTTATCACCAAATTTTTGTAAACGCTTCGAAGAGCATTTTCGTCACTCCAACATCAACACGACAAGGAGCATCTGTGAGCATTGCCGCACACAGAAGCACATGCACGGAGGCAATTTGCAAGCAACATACAAGCAATCAAGCACCCAGCAGCAACAGCATCAACATGAACAGCAACAACAAGAACAGCAACATCCTCATCAGCACTTGGAGGCACACGCACCGGGGACCAAGCAACCAACACGCTGCTGTCACGCATGCCCAACCTGCGCCCACGCCTGCAGCGCCACGTCACGGAACACTCGGTGCAGCACACGACTCTGCAGCACACTGCATCTGCTGCACTGCAACCACCACGGCCGCTTGGCAGAGGCCATTCGATACCTGCATCCAGCCGCAGACACCGGGGGACACGGTGCTACAGACCAGCAAACCACCAGCACTGCCATGAAGAAGCCAGGAACACTTTAAGAAAAAGGACAACAAAACCCCGCATTCACCATGAATGGACTTGGAAATAAGCGAAACGGAATGTGTGCCGATGCATTTGGGGCTTAAAATTGCTTAGTTGGAGAATTTACCTTAATACTCTTACATTTAAACTTTTGGGATGTATTGCTAAAGTTGTTTTGTTTGCAACAAGGCTTTTACAGATGCCAGAAGCAATGCATTTTACATTGGTTTGTAAGCGGTGATTTTTTTTTCATTTTAAAGGTTTATAAGGCCCTGTTGCCCACTAGTGTCCAATTTTAAGCCCCAAACCAAAAGGGTCGCCGGAGAGTGAAGTATGGTGGCACGGACAACGCGGGGTGCATTTGTAACGAGTGTGGCTGCTGTGACGCAGGAAAGAAGGCACCAGCCTTTCTGTTGCATCCTCTTGCGATGGGTTATAAGCTGACGCCCAACTCTGAGCAACTTTTTGTTCCTGTCGAAGCGTAGACTGGGTAAGAACAAGCAAGCATTGCAGGTGGCAACCACGAACACTTGCTGACGCCGCATCTCGGAACAATTTGTTGTGCATCTGTACACCTCCAATAAATTATATTTTTTCTTCTTGCAATGAGCATTTTTTTATGCACTGTATTTTGTATGGTTCTTGTTATTTATGTTGTGCCATGTGAAATCTGCATTTTAATATACTGCTGATTGTTTTATCAACAGACGCAGCGCCCCCTTATGGAGTGTGCCCAGAATTTCTTAATGTATTGGTAATTTGAATGTTCTGGGTGCATAATGGATATTTGGATTATGATATTTTGTGCCGCAATGAGCGCTTATGTTTCCTCTGGGTGGATTTGGTGATCGTTTGTACGTTTTGGTTTTGACTTTTTTTTTGTTTTCAGCGGAAAATGCAATGATGCCAGCGAAGCAAACGGCTCTCCTTGGCGACCATCCCAAAGCAAACGCTTACGGTGGTGGTGGCGACTATGGAGGTAATCCCCTTGTTGCGAATATCATTTTGGTTTCTTTCAGCTTGCTGTCAGATTTAAAATATGCCTGTTGAGAACATTTCTTATTTGGATTTGAAATTGGTGTTAAGGTGTTTCCCAAAAACCTTTTTGCGATTTAACAATCGCAACGTACAAGTTGCTTGTGTTTTAAGAGAAGATATTTCCAACAATTATCAGATGTATTAAAAAATATATGCTGAATAAGAGCTCTAGCTTGGTGGGGCTCAACCTAAAATTAAAAAAGTACTTTGGTCTATTCCCTAGGCCATTGAGTCTTCTGGACAAATGTTTTCTGGTGTCTCCAAGAAGCAAGGCATAGTGGTTAATCCTGGGTTACCTGATCTAATAGGAAAGAGCACAAACGTGTGTAGAATGGCTGTGGTAAATCTGGTTTTCAGAGACGTTTATAGAGTTTCAGCTGTCCACAACGTGTGTCTCCCTCTTATGTGTTTGCATGACAGGCTACCAGCAGCCACCACCACCGGGCGTCAGCTACGGCAACGGATCTGGCGGCGGCCGTATGGGCATGGGTGGGGGAGGAATGGGTGGTGGGGGAGGAATGGGCGGTGGTGGAGGAATGGGCGGTGGGGGAGGAATGGGCATGGGAGGAGGAATGGGCATGGGCAACCAGGGTGGGCCCCAGGGCCCCCAGGGCCAGCACATGCAGATGCAGGCCATGATGAACCAGCAGGCCGGCAACAAGGTCCTCATGGTGTACGGCTTCGATGCCGAACGCATCAATTGCGACCGCGTGTTTAACATCCTCTGCCTCTTCGGCAACGTTGAGAAGGTGCGTTCGCTGGATGTTGTGCACTTTGAAATTAGTCCCGTTTTTTCCAAAGTCAATCGTGGTGCAATGTTTAAATGTGTGGTACATGTCGTGCACTTATCGTGTTGTATAAAGTGGGAGATTCACACGACCAAATTTGTTAACCGGTTGACAACATACACATTTGCGTTTTTTTACAAAAATGGACCCAATGCTAAGTGTCCTTTGTGCATGTTTATAATGGTTCTTTGGCTAACACTTGACATTTTAACAATGCATTACAGCCAACTTCTAGATTTCCGTACAAGCTGCACGATGCTGAACTTTGTTACGGGTTGTATTCTTGTAGGTTAAGTTCCTGAAGAGCAAGCCGGGAGCCGCCATGGTCGAGATGGGAGATCCGTATGCCGTGGACAGGGCGGTTTCTCACCTCAATATGTCTCAGATCTTCGGAAAGAAAATCAACCTCTGGTGAGCCTTTTTGTTACATGTTGAATTGGTAAATTTAACTCATCACATCCTGTGAATGTAATTGGATACTGCTTTCGCTTTAGAGAAGACACTTATTCAATATTTAGTGCAAGTGACTAATTTTAGGACGGTGAAAAAGAGAGCTGATAAATACCGTGACTAAACACTTGTCACACAGCTTGAGAACCACAATGACTTACTGTCCAGAGCCTGTATTGAAATAATGAATGTGAAATTTGAACATGGTAAAAAAATGTATTTGCCCATTCCCTCTTCCACCCTCGCCTCGGCAGTGTGTCAAAGCAGCAGTCGATTGTGCCGGGTCAGGCGTACGAGCTGCCGGACGGCACCAACAGCTACAAGGACTTCACAGGCTCTCGCAACAACCGCTTCGCCAATGCCGAGAAGGCGGCTAAGAACCGCATCCAGCAGCCCACCACGGTGCTGCACTTCTTTAACGCGCCCATGGACATCACGGCTGAGATATTCATGCAGGTTCGTGCCCCACCGCCCTTCAGCCTGCTAGCAGCTCAAAAGGAGTGCATCCGCTTTAAGTTTTCCCAGATTAAGTTTATAAATATTTAAGTCCAAAGTTAGTGTGTAAAACAATCATGGGTTTTTAAGATCAGCCTATTGATTTTGTGGTGACTGCCATGTTTCCTATGACGGGCCAAATGTAAAATGGTGTCATGTAGTTTCCTTTCAGCAGTTCAAACAATGTATGAATAATGTAGTTGATGTTCCAAAGGGACTTTTTTTCAGACTAGACACCTCGCATGAATTGGTCCTGTTTAATACATGACTATTCATTCATTTGTATTCAAAAGATTTACATTTTAGTCTTTGAACATAGTTTCTGCAAATGGTTGCATTCCCCCTGATTCTATGCTTAGTGTTAACAATAATCCGAGCACTTTGAAAGACTGCTTCAAGCTGGCGAATGTAATCTTAAAAATGGACAATGTGATTTGTGCCTGCAATTAAAATAACATCTCCCGAATGCTTTACCAGTGCACAGTACCTGTTACCAACTATAACGTGAATGCCGCCCGTTCTGTCTCTGCAGCTGTGTGATGAAATGTCGATTGCGAGGCCCCTTTCTTTCAAAGCGTTTTCTGGAAAAAGTAAGTCCTGCAAAGTATTTGTTTTTTATATTACATGTCATGGCACAAAGTACATCGAGCGTACTACATTCTCTATACAATCGTCACTTGTATTACAGCACGACACCAGATGATCTGCAATGTGTGATACGAGTCTATGCTAAAGAAACCTTGTGAGAAATTATCTCCCGAGAGCAATCCTTGGTATTTGCTCGCGCCCAAGCTGACTGACCTGTGTTAACGTAGCCAAGGCGTCAGACTGGAGCCTTTCTGCTGCGCAATTCACCCACGACTGACACCACCCTTAAACATGGCAAAGGGTGTTGCGTTTTATGATCCAAGTGACTACATGAGTGATGATCCGTCCATGTGTCCAGGCGATAAAAGCATGTCTGGGCTGATGGAGTGGGAGAACAAGAACGATGCCATGGAGGCTCTGGCATGCATTAACCATCATTCCCTGAAGAACGCAAGTAAGTTGTGAGATGTAGACATTTGGTGTGATAACATTTCAGTGGTGCTGCATTATCGGCAAATCTTCGGTCATATGCTCTGTTGAGCACCTAATGTTAAGCTTTGGGGGGTGCTTGTTACCATAGCACCATCTGTTCACTAGCTGCATAGCAGCTTTGGGTGAAATTGCAGAAAGTCAAAGCAGTTATATTAATAAAGAATTAAAGCTTTTGTGACTGCATACATTACTCATTGTTTTTTTTGGTAAAGTCACATATGAGCAGTTTTATATTGTATTATATTAACAGGTTATTTATGTTCTTTTGGGATTCGTTTTTTTAATGTACAGAATGGAATTGAAAGTTGACATTGCAAGCACTTGCACGTATCAAAACTAAACGTTAGCTTAGCTCCCTGAACAGTTCGTCAACATTGACAGACCCTCTTAAGAATCGCTTCATTGTTTTAAGTTTTTGTGCTCCAGTGAAAACGTAATGTGGATGCCTTGTTTTTGTCTTATCAGATGGACCATACCCCTACACCCTCAAACTGTGCTTCTCCACTGCCCAGCATTCATAGAAGACAACTCAACATGTTCATGCTGTATTGAACATTGGTGTCAACATTATTGTCACTTTGTATAATTTGTGAATGTCCATCACTCTTGTTGAAAGTTAACCGTGATAGGTTGAAAGTGCAACTTGATGCATTTACATTTTAGTTGTCATTTTTTGAGGATGAATGCAGATTTTTATACTGACTGCACCGAAAGGTTTAAAAGGTTGCAGTAAAACATGCATTTGCTGTCTGGATATGAAGAAAGTTGAAATGAAATAAAAATAATTAAAAGTTTTTTTATGATTTATCTCCTTAACCTGCTGAGTTTGTCTACAGTGTGCATTGCTATTTTGTCCATGAGCCCAGACCAGATTTCACTTGACAGTACTCCGATGCCATAACTTTAGCGGCTCCAATTAATGTGGCCAACAACGGTTATGTGATGACCACAATTTGGGGGTTATCAACTTGCTCGTAGTCAAAGTTTTGCCCCCATGAGTGATACTCTGCTGTAGCCCATGCACTAATATTGCCCATTTAATTTCATAATGGGGAGCTCTGAAATAAATGCCAAGGACCTTTTGGGGCTAGTAAAAATATCTCAACTCATTTAAAATCCAATTGAAAACATGGGTTGACATTCTGTATAGTACGTGTCTTAAGCAGGTAATACACTTGAAAATATAAAGAGTAAATGGAACTCTTCGGAAAAAAAGCATGGAGAGATGCATGTTTGAAATCGAACTGAAAGAGATTTAACATGAGCTTGGAGACATTAAGGAAGTGGGCATAGGTAGGACACCACAATGGCCGATGTTTTAAATAGCCAAAGGAGAGAAGCCTCCGTAAATGTGTACCAAAGATCCTGAGGATAGCTCGTGTGCGTTTGCTAGATGGATTGCGGGATATGGTGATATCCTGGGGAATCTCAAAACATTTGCTTTAAAATGGGTTTGGGGCAAGATTTTAGATATGGTAACTCAATTTCATTGATTGTTATCCGTGTCGAGTCATAAGCCATTCAATTCAGAACTCTCAAAACGACATTGCACTGCAAGAACTTCATGGCAGGACAGTGGCACATTTTGAAATGTAAGTGACCTTTTATACACCAGGTGGCAGTATTTTACCACCTGCTATGCTACGGATACATTTCCTTCCTGAAGCGTTGATCTCAAAGCTGAAATGTAATTGAATGACATTTGTGACCAGGCTGAGATCCTGAACTCTACTTAAAATCTCCCAATATTTAAGTACATGTCAGCAATGACAGCACCTCCGTTGCATCTGGAGCGGTTTAACAAACTGATAAACGTGAAAGCCAATCGAATCCTCGGGTGGAACGTGACTCACCTTTGCTGACCTCCAGCCGGCGTCGCTTGGAAACCAGGTTTTCATTCCATCTCGCTTGAGCGTCTCACAAAGCTGCACCCTGCCACAAAAACGCTGTGCTCTGTTGGTTTTACCTCGGGCCCGGCTTCCATCCTCCCACCCTCCCATTTTTCCAGCCACGTTTGTGAAGACCACCAATGTGGAACTCCGTGTGGGGGGGGGGGGGGTAGTGCTTAATTGAGCGCGCCTGTACTTTGACAGATTACATTCCCTTCAATGTTTAAACCCACCTTACATTTTTCCAGGGCAAGGCTGCTCCTTAAACATTTCATACAGTATAACAAATCTCACTCAACCTGCATTAATGAACATTGTTGAACTTTGTTGCCTTCACTGATGCCCGTGGACGGCACTCCTTCGGATCTGTAAAGTGTAGACCTCGTGGTGCTCGAGAATGGATGTTGGCTTGGAAAGAGCACCTGGCTCACAAGATGGACCCAGGAGGGTTGCCGTTCAGCCGCAACCCACCGTGCTGCTGTCTCCCACATCGCCGAGACCCCCTGGCCAGGCTCCGGCTCACGGCGGTCCACCGCACCGCACCACCTCGCTGCTGCTGCTGTCGCCCGCTTTGGTGCTGCTGGCCGAGCGACCGGCGTCCGGCCCGGTGGGTCGGGGTCCCGCCGCTGCTGCTGCTGCCGCACAGGACCCTGCGACCGCCACGCCAGCTGGTGACCCGCAACCTGGAGCCCTTCTCGGTGGCGGCGGCGGCGGTGCTGGTGGCATGAAGGCGGCCATCCCTGCCATGAGCGTGCCGCTCGCGGTTCTGTGCCTGCTACTGAACATTATCCTCCCAGGATCGGGTATTTGCGTCTACGTCAACTTCGCGTACACGGCGTGCACAGGGCGTGGGACGTGACGGCATGGCTGTATTACACCTGCAGACTTTTATACAACTTGAAGCCATGCAGGAATTTGTCAGGTGTCTTCCCATTTCAGTTAATTAAACTACATGATGTAAATATGAACACGGGTTTAGTCCTGTGCAATGTTGGACTCCCTGTATATTGTTCTTTTAGCGAGGTGGTAAATTTGACATGGACTACACATCTCCTTTGGTTATTTCGGTAAAGTCACGTAGAATGAGAATAAAATAATAAAATAACACAATAAAATTCTCACGACGTTTCGGCCACAACGCAAGCGGCCGTCTTCAGGTGAAAGGAACAGACCTGTCGGGACGACAGAGCTTCAGTGAACGATGTTAAGATTCGTAGCGACTTTTAAGCTGGTTGGGAGAAGTGAGGCACCTTGACATAGGGGTTTACATATCAAATAGCTGAGGGATTAGCTTGTGACTGGTCACAGAAATGGCTATGTTAAAGTCAAAACCTACACATCCACAGAGGCAACTAGTAATTTAGCATTGAAATAGCCAAGGGATTAGCTTGTGACTCGTCACAGAAATAGATGTTAAAGGCCTATACATCTACAGAGCTTCAATGAACGCTGTTAAGATTCGTAGCGACTTTAAGCTGGTTGGGAGAAGTGAGGCACCTTGACAAAGGGGTTTACATATCAAATAGCTGAGGTATTAGCTTATGATTGGTCACGGAAATGGACTACACAGTCGTCAATTTCGTGGTAATACGATTCCCATTGCCATAAAGTGGTCCATGTTCAATGTTTTTTAGAAACCTGAATGGCAGAAGGAATCCACAAAAAGTAATTTCTCCAATGTTTTTTTTACCCGCTAAATTTACATTGAACTGTTTCTCATATTCACGGTGATGTCATGAACATTTACAAGATGGCTGAAGCCCTCGTGTACCTTGCGAATATTTCACCACGACGAGGCCACGCAGGATCCCGAGAAACACCAGAGGATTTTGCTAAGTCCAGGTAGACTACTGTTACATTGCAGATTTAGCACCCTCAGATTTTCATCTGTTGGGTCGTTTGAAGAATGTTTTAAATTTTACCAGGAAAGGCCCACTGAGCTATATTGCTGTTTTTTTCAGAAGCGATCTGGCCACAAATTATTATTAGCCCAATAAAGTGGCTCATCATGTGGAAATGTATAGCAGCCAAATACTCTAAACGAATGTTTCTAAATATGGAGGGAAAAACTGGAGCACCCAGATAGAATCCGCTCGACCACGGGGGGAGAACATTCAAACTCCAAATATTCAGGCGCCAGGTCGATATGGAACCCAAGACCTCCTGAATACCAGGCGAGGGAGTTAACATCTCGCCACTGCGGTGCCCCATAGCTCCTTGAGAGTGGTAACATGTTGCTGATGAAACCGATGCAATTGAAAATCCGTACGCAGTAATATATTATCTTAAAAGCAGGTAATTTGGTGTTTCCGTAAAATATATTAAATAGGCATTGCAACAATTTGGTGAATTGTCATAAATCAGTCGTAATTCGATTCAATGATCAATGGCTTTTCGTTTTGTTTGTATTGTTTCCAATGTTTTCTCATTCGTGCAGCTTTATCTGCTCTAGTAAGCCTCGCTGTAATTTGTACACATGGTAAATAATAGTGTCAAAACACAATGTCCCCGGGCCGTGCTGGGTGGTGCAGGCACCGTGCTCTCAGCCATTAGCCTGTGCTGCTGCGCCGCCGAGGTGGGAGAGGCGCGTGTAGCTCGCGGCGGTGGCGGCAGCGACGCCGCGTCCCTCGCCTGCCTCAACCTGTGGGTGGGCGTCTCGCAGCTGCTCACCGTCACCTTCCTGCTTGTGGGCTGGCTCTGGAGCGTCACCTGGGGGGTGGCCATGGTGGTCGTGGCAGGTGACTGGAGCCCGAGTCGCAATGGCAGATGTTGTGGTCTCGTCTCTCAAAGTAGCTCATGACTTTTACAATTGTCTTCTTGGTTTCGAACTCGGGTGAACTGTCTCGTTAATGCAATGAGCAGTGGAACTGGATTGTGTCAGAGTTAACTGAATCAGCTCTTAGCCTTGGCATAATAACACGAATGCCGTCCCATTCAAAATAGAAAGAATGAGTGTTGTTGTGTAAAGGAGTCGCTTGTTTCTCGTTGCAGCCGAGCGGCGACGCAAACGCTTGGAAAGCAAGGCGACTGAGGCTGGGCCCAACCTCAGTCGCTCCTCTCCACCTCGCATCATCACCTTGGTGTGAGACGACTTCACCCCCCACTCGTGAAGACATCGCCTCGAACCCAGGAGACATCATTCATCTCCGAGATGACAAAATCCTGGAAAGAGGTCCATGGAATGAGATACACGAGATGACGTCGTGAGCTCCCCGGGGCTAGAGGACACCGCCTTCGAATGAGATGATGAGATCATTGCGCAATGAGAATACATCAGTGGTATCACTCGTCTGCAACCAAATCAGCGTGAATGTGGCTGATATCATTAGAACTCAGAAGAAAGAGTTGAGTTTGGTTCGTACTTGGATGAGAGACTACCTGGGAATACCAGGTTGGCTTAGGCTCCAAGATTGTCGGGATATGTACTGGCAGGCCACCATTGCCTTCTCAGATCTCAGATATATCTGTGCAGAGCTTTAAGCGTTACCCACTTAGATGCCTGGGTTTTCCCTGCGTTCTCCCAGATGACAAAATACGTATACGTGGTACTGGACAAACATCTCAATGTATGATTTTCATGAAAAAGTATTGAGACTTAGTGAGGATTTCTTGGGTCCGCCAACGAGCATTAATCGTTGTTTATTCTCACTTTGCACTGGTCTTGCTGTCATTCGGCAATATAATGCCCCCTGCCGGGCACTCTCATAATAACTTGAGAAGTGTGTGTGTGTGACCTCACCATCACCACTATGCGACATTACTCCAATATATGTGAAGTGGTGTATTCATGAGTTCCATATGCCTTTTTAATTTGCATTCATTCGACACAAATTCTGCTTTTGAAATGGTAAGATTGTACGTATAACATTACTAGAGGTTGATTGAAGCTGAGCAACTTCTGGGCAGTACTGCAATTTTTGGAGGCCCACATTTGAATATCAGATTTTTTTTCAGTTCTAAGGCTCCACTATGATTCATAATTGGTTTATTTTGGGTTAGGTCATCGCATTAAAATGCGAGTCGTCTGTTGAGGCTCACGGCACCGGTGCGCTGAAGCAGTGACACATGTGGCATTTTTGATTCACCTGGCAATTTAATGAATTGGCTGAGGAAGAGGGTTTACGACGCACATTTTACACACGATGACCTAATCCAAAATGAACCAATTATGAATCATAATATTGGACGTGAAAGAAAGCCTACCTATATAATTAAGCTTAACTACGTTTGTGGCAATATAACATTATTTAGCCTCTCACCCTTCTCAAGCATCATTCGAATTTACTTCTGTCATTGAGGCATGATTAAATATAAATAACATGCAGCCTTTTGTCAAACCAATTATGGATGAAGGCCTCCTCATGTTATTTTCAGTATTGGAGGTTGACCATATTTCATGTTAAAGGGCAGCCCAGGACACGATCAGACATTACAATATAGGACCACAGAGCTTGGGAAATGTTGACGCCTTTCCCGTGCATGCTTGTGAAAAACTGTTACAATTTCTACCACTTTTAATATGCATTAATGACGCTTTATAAAACTAAAACATTATTACAATTATCACTTAGGGGCCGTCCATAAATGACGTCACGCACCTGGGGGGGGGGGGGGTCAGACATTTGTGACGATGTGTGACGAGGGGGGGACGGGTTTGAGAAATGTGACGTCACATCAAAATGCGCAACTTTAAATAAATATAGACAACACTTTCTACTTAATTAAATATACTTTTTGATAAATGCTTTCTTCTACAACATCAGAGTGTAGCGGCACATTAAATACGCACTACAATGACAATAGTTTAAAGCGATTTGAAGCATGTTTTATATATTTTTTTGGGGGGGGGGGCAGAGCTTTGTGACGTCATATTTGAGGAGGGGTTTGACTTTTTGTGACGCCGTGTGACGAGGGGGGGGTCAAAAATCGTCCAAAATGGCGTGACGTCATTTATGGACGGCCCCTTACCACTGATGCTATGTTAGCCATGGATGGGAATCAAACCCAGATTAACGGGTTCATATCGCAGTGCACTGATCACTGTGCCGCCATTAGCCCCAGAACACGATTGTCCATGTGTATTAGATGTATCGGTCACAATACATGCCAACTACTGTACTATAATTACAGTACTTAAAACATTACAGATAATTATCTTAAATGAGCTTGAGAATTGTGCATGTGTGTTTGTTAAATGGAAGGTGTTTACCCTGTTATTGCATTGACATGCAAACTGCAGCGTAAGTCTGGTTCTCTTTCATCATAGGATGGAAAGTACATCCTGTACTATTACTCAGTAATCACCATTTACTTTAACGGGGCTTGCATGATAGCTTCATGCTTGAGGGCTCAACTCAAAATAAAGTACATGTCACTGATCGAGTTATCTTGTTGATGTGCTCTTCTGTACACACACCAACCCAGACACCTCAAATAATGCTATGTTGGTGTGGCTTGCTTTTTGTATAATTTGACTTTCGGGTTCATATTTAAGAATCATTGTAATTTACAAGATGCAGATGAAATGACTGCAGCTATTTGGCAACATTAATGAACACATTGCTGTAAAAGTGATACATCTGCTGAAAAATAACGAGTCACTGCCTATTAGAAGCATCTACAAGCCTATCCCAGCATTGTAGAATCACATTACAATGAGCTGCACACGAATTTTGCACTTATCAATTATTGTAGCAGAGATGAATTCACTTGACATTAATTATTAAGCCATTCTTGTCTTGGGCGTGGTGGCAGTAGTAGGAAACCAACGTTTAGTTTTACTGGGTTGTTTACTTTGGCCACAGGTAAACACCCAATATGTACATGCACATTGTCGATGGGGATCTGGTTACACAACAGACAATGGTGACTGCAAGAAATGTAATCAAACAATAGAAAGACAATTGTACATGGTCAAATACGGAATGGGAAGGTGGTGGGCGAATGTTGATGGGTGGCAGTGGCCCACGGGGTCCTGAGTGGTTAGGAACCATCGATTTATCTCACACATAGCGCTGTTGGTAAGTAAAGTATTTACATTATTACACACGCATCCCGAAGCTAGTCTGAGTTGTGTTCCTTCTGATCTGGGTTTGATATTCTGAGGCTGTCAGTTGCTTACAAATGTTTCCAGTTTGCACTGTGAGGCGTGACTTTCTGTCAAATTCATCCACATCGCCTCTACAGTATTTGGCGAAGTTATTTTTGGTTTTAACTTTCCTTTGAAGTTACAATATTCAGAATGCATCGCCCTATTAAATACTTACACATTTTCACACAAAATCATGCAATCGCACAAATGACATGGCCAGCATTAATGTACCGCTACGATTATTATGGTTTAATATTCAAAGGCACCTTTTTGATGTTTCCTTAGGGTTATGATGAAGCATCTTTAGTATTCTTAGGATTTAGTTATAATGCCCCTGTGGTCAGGCAGACTAAGGTTTGAGTATCATTGCCTTAGGCACCTTAAGTAATCTTATTATTCAATATTAATTGATTGAGAATGAGTTACACTAAGGCACGTTGATGTTTCAGAGTAAAACTTTAATTCCTTTAATTCAGAAGACTCAGTGAAGAAGTGTTTAGAGCAGCGTACTGTAAATCTACATTCCCTTTGCAATCTGACCAAAAAGCTATAGATGTAGGCATGGTTATTGCTAAAGCGCGACCAAAGTTTCGTAAGTCATTGTTTAATGGGTCTTGTGGTGTTCGTCAAACCATGTCAAGTGTGAGCGTACGGACGTAACAGGAGGACGAAGCCGAACGCCTCCCGCAATTTGTTATTTTCCAAAACTCCCGCCAAAAAACAACGGCGCGCGGTGACGTCACCCAACGTGCCGGAACCGCGGCAACGCTCGCGCGAGATGACGCCAACGCGTCGGTTCGCGCGACGTCATCGCGCGCGACGCGGTGACGTCACGCGCACTGTCAGACGAGCAGCAGGAGGTGGAGGAGGAGGAACAGGGGCGCGATGGCGGAGTCGCCGAGCGTGAGGCACCGTAAACACGCGTCCGAGAGCTCGGGTAAGGACGCGCGCGGGGCCGCCCGCGCTCGCTCCCTCACACCGCCGCCCTCCCCTCGCTCGGGCGCTCGCGGACGGATTTGGGTGTTGCTTCTGGGCTTGTCGGCCCGCGCTGCGGGGGCGAGGCGAGGGGGAACGAGAGCGTGCGAGAGCGGGGAGTGTGCGGTGCCGGCCCTCGGTCTCTCGTGGAGGTGGTGGGGGACCTAGGGTGGAGCTGCGCGCGCTGGGGTGGAGGCCCTGGGGTGGAGGTTAAGGGACCTGGGGTGGAGCTGGGGGCCCTGAGGTGGAGGCCCTGGGGTAGAGGTGGGGACCCTGGGGTGGAGGTTGGGGACCCTGGGGTGGAGGACCCAGGGGTGGAGGTGGGGGACCCTGGGGTGGAGGTTGGGGGACCCTGGGGTGGAGGTTGGGGGACCCTGGGGTGGAGGTTGGGGGACCCTGGGGTGGAGGTGGGAGACCCTGGGGTGGAGGTGGGGGACCCTGGGGTGGAGGTGGGGGACCCTGGGGTGGAGGTGGGGGGCCCTGGAGTGGAGGTGGGGGGCCCTGGGGTGGAGGTGGGGGACCCTGGGGTGGAGGTGGGGGACCCTGGGGTGGAGGTGGGGGACCCTGGGGTGGAGGTGGGGGGCCCTGGGGTGGAGGTGGGGGGCCCTGGGGTGGAGGTGGGGGACCCTGGGGTGGAGGTGGGGGACCCTGGGGTGGAGGTGGGGGACCCTGGGGTGGAGGTGGGGGGCCCTGGGGTGGAGGTGGGGGGCCCGGGGGTGGAGGTGGGGGACCCTGGGGTGGAGGTGGGGGACCCTGGGGTGGAGGTGGGGGACCCTGGGGTGGAGGTGGGGCACCCCGGGGTGGAGGTGGGGGACCCCGGGGTGGAGGTGGGGGACCCCGGGGTGGAGGTGGGGGACCCCGGGGTGGAGGTGGGGGACCCCGGGGTGGAGGTGGGGGACCCCGGGGTGGAGGTGGGGGACCCCAGACTCGGGCACTGCACTGTGTTTATTGTTGTACAGTAACTGTAAACTCCGGTCGATTCGGTTCTCATTTGCCTGATCACCATTGACACACACGCAGACGTGTATTGTCTCCCTGATTTCATCCTCATGAATTACAGAATGCTCCTACTCATTTATACACGTTCAGATAGCTCTTTTATAATGAGCCCCGCGCTAGAAATTGTGTACATGGCTAAGGGTTATTTGAGAGATTGACAGTCTAGGCAAGTGTACCGACAGTGGTAGCATTGTTGCTTGGCGAAAACCACAATGTGATTTTTTTTGCATGTATATAATGCTTACTGTACTTTGTGGAATGTCGGTTGTCAAAGCCGTATTGTTTATTGAAAAATGTAGATGATTTAACCATGGTCATGTGACATGCAGTGAGTGTACTAACATGCTTAGCACCAGTCATAAAGTGCTGTTAGCTGTACTCTGCTTTAATGAATTATTATCCCGCGTGTGTATATACCTGCTGCGTCCTGCACCTGGCAGAGGAACGGAATGAACCGAATGCTTCAATAAGCACATGCAGAGAGTCCGTACTCTACGGGAGCTTTGCCTTTTAACGCCGCCGCCACCACCACCACCACCCATGCTGTAGAGCCACGTCTTCGGGATTACGTCGTCTAGGTCAATGCCCCACACGTCTACCACTCATATTAAGGTAAAAAATGAGCATTTCAAGATGCAACGTGGCTTTTTTAATACCTAACATGGGAGAGAGAGAGAGGAGGGCAGCTTTAATAAAATAATTCACATAATGATTCAAAGACTGCCCTTATATAGTGGCGTGCGTGGTATGCGGCCGTCACGAGCGAGCCGCGTTGTGACTTGTAAGGCAATCGCCGATTGCCCGCGCTTGGCGGATTCCGTTGGTAACAAGTAACAACATTCTTTTGCTAAACGAATCAAGCTGCTGCAATAGCAGCGGCGAGTTGGCTGCCCGTGTGTGTGTGTCCCGTCGTGTTGCTGCTGCCGCTGCTTAGAATGCTGTGGCTTGCGGGCAAACGGTAAGGAGGAAGGGGGGACATCATCCTCTCTGGACACGGCCGCTTAAAAATCCTGCGCTTCTGCCGCCTTTTACACGGCGCGCGTTTGCCGGCAGCACTGCTGGTCGAATTTTAATGTAAATTGTACGGTAACTGGTTACGTAATTTATAGGTACAACTTGAATTGATTAATTGTTTCTGGTGCAGTGAACAACAACATCACAACAATCATTGCCGGGCGTAATGGTGTAATTGGAGAAATTAGTCCTTGGCGTGGTTACTGTACGTTACGTGGATCACTTTGTTTGTAAAATGCTTTTCGTCCGAGGGGTATATGGAGATACAATTAGACATGCCGGGACTGGTTTTAATTTCATAATGAGGAGTTCTCAGTGAAACCGCATTCACCAAAGATGTTTCTACAGTGCTCCAGCCTGATTTTAGTAAATTAATGAACTTACAATGGTGCAATGTTTCCTCGTACTGGGTAGCTGCCAGTACACAACAACGGGGGGCGTCTGTTCTTTGGTGACATTTGAGATGTCTTGAACAATGGTTTTCATACTCTGTGATTTGTTTCACTTGTCAAAGCTAATGTTTGCGACGTAACATTAATTTACGAATTGAATTGCAATAGCACTCAGATGTTAGTGTTCTTTTTCTCCGTGCACCGTAGTTGAGTGTTAGGTGTGCTATGTTTTAGATGTATAAAATGGAATAAACGTGAGACCAGAATTGACTCAGTAGTGAGCCAATTGCCAAGCGGTCAACAGTTCAGTTCCCTCACCCGCTTGGTGATTTACATGAAGTTTTACCAACGTGTGACGTCTGCCGTAAACAGATGAACACCCTCCCCCCCACATGGCGTGCAGAGGCCTTCATCCAGAAGTGGATTGCCAAAGTGGTGTAAATCAATTGGTCGAAACTGCCAATTGGAAGTACAGTATTAAGTTGCATATTTTTATTGTCCAGTCACCAATGCCCTATCATTACATTTTGTTTGTCACTTAAGGCCGTGTATATTCCCACGTTGAGGATTACACATTTGAGTTAATTATTGTGCAGTGAATGTCTTGGCAGAGCATGTAACAAGGTACACCGCCTAGCGTGTATAAGAGGCTATTGGAGCGACTAATGAAGCAGTTTTGTGACGTCGTCTTCCATGGTCGTTATCCACTGTCGGGTGGTGCACTGGAACATCAGAGAGCTCTGAATGCAGATGTATTTACCACTTAACATGATGCCAATATATTATTGAAAATAATTGTGAGAAATAATTGGTAATATTGCTGTAAGAATATATTTTAAAATTGCTGGATAAATGTCGCCAATGTCTGCCATGTCCTGCAGACCTTGCGGTCGTGTAGCATTATTCCTCATTGGCTTATTAAATACAGCTGCTAATTTTCTGTTAGCTCCTCAAATATGCTTAATATGCGTCAGGATAATTAAAATGGCATATTATTCAAGTGGATTGACAAAGGACGGAATATATTATTGCCGAGATTAATTTAAAATCTCTTATCTGCAAAGGAACAATGTTCCGTATGAAGACGTTAACTGGGGACTGTGAAGGCCACAGTCAGGAGGGCTGCTGAGCGTGCCGGTGCTCGACTTAACCACGCTCTGACAACCTAGCAGTCGGCCGCGCCGTCGGCACACGTGAGAAATCCGCTTTCCCATCGTGGTGGGATCTCGTTTTTCTGTGGAATCACCACTGTTGACCTCCCAAAAGCAGTACGAGTTTTATTGACCCCTGCCTGAGATCTGAGCTTGCAAATTTCCAACTGTGATGGAACGTCACCATCGAACATGAGAACTTTGCTCAGCAGTGAAAACAGCCATAAGTCTGTGTCATTAAAGAGAGGACCTTGATTTTTTTTGCCAATGTGCAAGAGTAGACTGTGGCCTCCAAAGGGAGCAAACACTTCATGTGCTCATGTTATGGTGTAAAAACAGCAGTGCTTAACTGTTGAAGTCATGGCTGCACAACGAGATCGTTGCTTGTTTATGTTATGATGCCATATCAGTCGTGGTGAGTCGTATATCCTTTAGTCTGTCTGCCTTAAGAAGTGTAGTCGGTGCTTGTTGGTGAGTGGCTCTGTAAAGTGCAATACGGACAGCTCCTTTCTTCTTCGACCGAACCCACAAGCTGCAGTAAACACAGACGAATGCACATTCACTCTGATTATTTAAGCTTAGTTCCAAGCTCATCTTTCTGTGCTAAGAAATTCACAATTCAGTCCATCACGATAAAGAAATATAAGAAGTTTTAAGCTGTCTCTGGTTACAATTACAGAATTCCATTGCAAGATTTTGACTGGCCAACCGTTGCTGCAACACATTTAGTAACAGTCTATTCCATTGGAGCGTGGTATATACTGTATACAGGGTAAACGTTATTTCCTATTTAAATGCATAAGTTATGTCGGTGGTCATCAGTCTCTATGCTTCTGTAAAAAGAAGTGTCTCCCAGCGCATACAAGTGTGGGGCATATTCTAGATTTAAAGCTTTCGTGACTGCTAGGATCCATACTCTTTGGTTCTATTGGGTAAAGTCACGTAGGTGAAAATAAAATACGTGACTTTACCCAATAGAACCAAAGAGTGTGGGGCATATTCTTGGGTCTTTCGGTCAAGTCACGTAGATAGGTTCAAAGAAAATAATAATAAAAAATAACAAGAAAACTACTTATAAACAGTTTCCCTTGAAGCTAACTCCCCTTTTCCTGAAGACGTCCGCTTGCGTTGCGATCGAAACGTCGTATTTTTCTGTAAGTTTTTATTATTTTCTTAGAACCTATCTACGTGACTTTACCGAAAGACCCAAGAATATGAATTCCTGCAGTCACGAAAGCTTTCAGTCAATATTTTAAGTGTGGGGCAGTGCTTGACTTGTTTCCAAAACAAATCAAGTCAGAAAGAAAGTGGCCTCTGCTAAAATGTGCAGTGGGTGCTCATCTCTGTCCGTGGCCCTGAGCCAGTAGTGGAATTTATGCAATGCCCTCGTGGGGTCAAGTCTCTCC